ATTGTGGTTTCACTGTTGTCGTGTAGGCCAATAGCCAGAACTCCAGTCTATCTCGGTATCTAGTACTAAATGTTGGTATTGTATCATCGACCATATCTATATGAAAATCTTCATGTATTTGTTTATTCATGATGAACCATGGAGCCCTAATAATATTTCTTAAGCATTTTGATTGGAACCTTTGTATAATTTGTATGTTCAATTTACTGACCGCACCCCACAATTGGATATAATACGTCCATACTGGTTTCAATATTACTTTGTATATAAGTAATTTATTTTGCAATGATAATTCCGACCTTTTCCCTATAAGCCAATAAAGTTCTCTAAACTTTATTTCAAATTGCTGCTTCTTAGCCTGAATGTGATCTTTCCAGTTGAGTCTTCTATCTAGATGCATGCCTAGTTATTTGACTTTTGTTGCTTTGGGCAAATTATAATAAGAATGAAACTAAATATATTCAATTATAGTAGAATCTCAAATTTCGGACAGGAAATCGTTCTTCTTTCAAGTCGTTCTTCGTCAAAATAAATAATGTAACTTAAATACATGAATATCAAAGGCCTATGGCCTATAGCTCTTCTTTATAAGTATTCAACATCTTATATTTTATTATTATGATTATATATTATGTTATATTTTTTAATAGTTTAATAAACATTTTTATTTCAAAACTCATAAAATTAACCCAATTCATCTGAAAGTAGCCTTTTGGTCTAGTTTAGGACAATCAAATTGTAAATAAATGAAAACATGAAATTCCATATGGTTTTTGTAAGTAGTTATTTTTTTTATTTACAAAAATAAGTGTATATGTTAAGTCTTCTATTAATTGGCCATTTATAGTCAATCTTGTAAATCATCCCTGTTCTGAATACATAAATATATGAATGCTTGCTAATGGAGATCAAATTGCTGTAATGAAGTAAACTAGTTTGTAAAGGAACAAATCATATTGTACCAATCAATAATAATAAATAGGGACTGTATCGGGTATCCGGTTTTGCAACAATGGGGGGAGCAGTGCAGCATTCAAATTGAATAAAGTTTTACTCCAATCCGTACAGAAGACCGCCGGGTGAATTCCTCAACCTATATATTTCAAGCATACAAATTGAGTTAGCAGTTCTGGAAATTGTAATTAGCTCCACTGATTATGAGTTTAATAACTATCTAACAAGTTTTCTTCCCTCGCCCCCTCTCCAATCTCAATGTTTTACTGAATCATTTACGTTCCGCGTTAATTGAATTACGAATTACAGTCTGCTCGCAAAAAGATTCAATTAATTGTTATAATTAAGTCTGAAATTGCATTAGCCGAAAATAAATAATACCGACGCGGATGGGCTGGCTGCTTCCCTTCTATCTTTCTTTCTCCTTTTCCCATCCATTGCATCCTGACACCGTCGCGCGTTCCCCAACTCCGTCCTTCTGCCAGAAAATTGCGAGACAGTAAAAGTGCAACCGGGCGAGTAATTGGAACATGTAGCTCTATCTTATGTAAGTGGCTCATTTTCTGTCCAAGTCCCCAGTAGATGAGAGTTGTAGTTCCAACTTACTCTCTTTTTTTTTAATATGTTTTCTTTTCCCCATACTTACAACTCTGCGGGTCCTCGACTTCGGCCTCATCCAAGTTGTTGACTCCTTCCATACTCTGCATTTTTGCTACTTTCAATTACGCTGCATTACGTTATGCCGCTACGTATTTGCGCTGCGGAGGAAGCTTATTGAAATTTAGAACAATGCACAAATTAATTTGGTCCCAGCCAACTAAACTACAATTACTCGGAGAAACGACCGGGCTTCATTGTTTTGGGCTTTTCACAGAGCTTTGTGTTCTGCTTGCAGTTTTAAATGAAAACTACATATGTTTTGCAACATCACAATACCGTAAACTAACGTCTCATTTAGACTACATATACATTCATTGAATTTCATTTCAATACTACACATTCTAATAAATCGAATCGATAAATCGAAATTCAATGAAATGATGCCATTTTTTAAATGTTTATTAGTTATTAGTTAAACATGTATTAGATCCTTGTAAATTAATTAATTCTAGTAGTTCCAAATTCATTTACATTTATTCTTTTAAAATTCTTTTAGTATTGCTTTAAATAAGATTGCGCTTACTTCATAATAATGTTTATTTTAATTGAAATCATCAATACATGTTGTATTTTGCGTATGAATCAATACATTTTCTTGTAATACTAAAAATCAATGAAATATAAAATCGTTTCACTATATTGGTATAATAGAATATTTTACAAATTAAATATAATACAAATTCACAAATTTATTATAACTAAGCCCTTTGGCCGGCCTATTAATATATATTTTTTTAAATTTTATGTTAGAATTTATTTATGTATAGAATGTACTTTTTTTTCTTATGTATTCATGTTTGGCCAATAAATTATTATTAAAACTAATGGAAATTTTGTACTAGAATTAAGAAACAAAAAATAACAAAACTTTTTTTACGTTACTACAATATTCTTTTTATGAAAATTGATTTTTTGATTACCATGAAATTATTATAAATTTTGATAGATACAAAAGGAATTTACATTTTTATGGTTCATACAATAACATTTTATAAAGTAAAGTGAAATTGGTACGTGCATACAAATTCTCCATTAATTGCAAAGCGTAATAGCAAATCCATGTTATAGTGACACTACTTATCAAGTGGTTTGTTCTATAGAAAATAGTGTCTGTACTCTGTTATAGGATAATTTACTATATAACATAAATTGAAATAATTCAACGTTTCTAATTAAAAAAAGAAGTTTGTTAAAGCTTTGTTTTATTCAGTTTTATTAGAAAATTCAAATAGATGCTTCGTTTCTTTACTAAACGTTTACAATTTTGTTTTAATTACAAGATGTATTTCATCTCATAACTAAAAATAAATTGTACCACCTGGGAGTATTGGGATAAATCGTATATAAATATTCAGTAAAAAATATTGAAAGGTCATTTATCTTCCTAAATAATTAGCATATTCGTATTGATTTTATTATCGCTCTAAATACATTTTAGTTTTCTTTTCAACATTAATATTCGAGTCACATGAGAGAGTACTTACTTTTCCAGTTTTATTTTTATGTCCGCTATGCAGTCAGTATCTAATCGAGGATCCGGAAATAGCACCTCGTGTATTCGTACACGTACCAATATTCTGCGGAAGCGATTATTTAGAAAGACCTGTATTCCGTCTGAAATGCCATCTGGCTAGAAGCCAGATCATACCTCTACCTCTGTAGTGTAGCAACATAGTTAGATCGATGTTAAATTACCATTAAAAATGCCGCATTTTCTAGAAACCTATGAAAAATGCATATACACCAGGCAGGTAACTACTTTATATTCAATTAGATTATATTCTTCCAACCGCATATAAATAAGACAATTTGAATGTAATCTACACATTATCGAAGAACAAAAAATGTTGTTTTTGTTGTTATCGATCTATTATGCAATACCAATATTAATTTACAAGAAGGCTTCATTTTGCTTTTGATTACTGCGGATCATTATTTTGTTTTTCTCTTTAGGCTCTTGTGGACCAAAAAGTTATGCTTCCCTTAAACTTCTCAATTATTTTTTAATGAGGTTTGCAGATCATTAAATAATATAAACTTTACAAAAAAAAAATATTTTCATTTATATTCCATACACAAAGATATTTACATATTTGTCTATTTCTTTACCCCATTTGGGGTAATATAACAGGGTTCGCCGACCCCTGACTTACAGAAAATTAAATATATGATAAAACAGAAAATTCATAAAAAAAATATATAAAATGTAATTTCAATAAAAAAAAATAAATTGTGTAGTTATAACTTGAAACTCAAAGGTATTTCAGCTGGACAGTAATTAATAAAGAATTTGGTATACACATTTCAATTTACACAAGCTGATATAGATAACATTTTCTCACAATGCGGTAACAACGCATTACCCTTGGTCATTAGTATATGTAGTGATTAGTGATACTTCGATTAATCCGGATTCACTACAGTCTGGTTTGGAAATTTTAAAAGAAACAAAATTTTAATTGATCAATATAATAATAATTTGTAATAAATTGTACACAAGATTATTTTTTATGTGATTGAACAATTTTAACCTTTTTAAAGTCACGTATCTTTTTTGCGAATAATTTTTATGTGGTTTGAAACTCCTCGATTAGTCCGGTATCAAACATATTATCGAAACCGTTACAATTATTATTATTGTTTTTGTTTCTTTTATGTATATAATAAAGTTGCATAAGTGTATTTAAGTACGAATCACTTGTTTTTTTCATTGAAATGATTGGATATATTGTAATTATGCAATTAATTCTATAGATTTTCTTGATTGGATGATAAATATGAATTCAGTAAAATATAATTGCAATTACTATTGTTTGTAGATATTTCCACCCATTTAATTAAAACCGAGTTTCAATTACAAAGAGAAATCTGTAATTGAAAGCGCCTGTGTTTCACGTTGTTCCCTTTGTAAATAAGTTTTAGCCAAATTGTATCAAATAATTGAATTGAATCGTATTATTGAGTTAATAACAAATATAGAATATTACAAAAAAAAATAATTAGAACAAAATGCAAAAACATTAATTTATATGTATAAAATGTCTGGAGGAGACATAACACGTCTGGAGAAAATAATTCCTTTTCGAAACAATCTTTAAATCTCAAAGTCAAACGTTGCGAGACGGAGGATGGAAAAAAGTAGCAGAGCGGATTCCCACAGTTTGTCAGATAGATAAATTATTTCTTTCAGGCAAACATACAAGTAGGGACGGAGGCGACGCTCTCTACTTATTGTTCTAAAGCCTTTTCTTCCTTTATTTTCCACCTTATCCTTTCCATTTGTCTACGTCATAGACGGTGTCATTATTAAAGGAAATTATTTAATACGCTTTACAGAAAACTTAAACTTATACAACAGTTTAAAGAAAATGTATAACTTTACTCACTTGCGTTTAATGTATCATCAAAAACGAAGTACAATGTTCCATCCTGTAAATAGAAAACAAATACATGTTATAAATGATGTCATTGTTTATAAATTGAAAAATAAAAATAATATTTATTGCAACAATAAATTACAAAATTTAAAAAAAAATAAAATTCAACTGTTGCAAAGAACTATTGACTATAGGTCTTTCTGCCTGGATGAAAAATAAATAATTTAATGTAAACAAATAACAAAAAATATAACTGATTTTGATTTTTTTCTGTATGTAATTATTTTTACTTCGATTAAAAATAAACGTTATTTTTATATTATTTTATTGTTTAATTAATTTAATTTAAAAATGGATATCATTATATCGAATATGAAATATCAACATTAAATTTAACGGATTATTTCTATAATAGAAAGAAAAACATCATACAAAAAAAAATAAATATTCGACATAATTTAAAAATGTTTTTTATCGTTTAAAATAATATTATTATATAAATCGGAAACTAAAGTATATTTTTAATTTACAATAGGTTCAATGAATATATTCAATAGAAAAAATAATGAGTGAAATTTCAGCGTTAAGATAAAAACTGAAATAAATCTAAGAAGTAGAATTGATTGGGAACTGGTGGAATGGAATGTAACTGATGTGGAACTATAAACCTCATCTTGCTATTGTGCCCATCCAGGCCCTTGGAAACGTATCCATGCGAACGACGTCGTAATTTTTCAAGAATACTTCCGTCCTATTCAAGGCCCTGATTACATCCTATTCAAGGAGCAGACCATTTGTATCAACCAAACATTGTCGTTGCAAAATAAATTAAATCCTGCCTCCCTCTCGCCCTGTTATAGACCTACCGCTGTGGTGGCGGCAGCAGCAACGACGGAGGCCGAAAATAACGACTTTAAAGTATTTAAGCGAGACGCCGAATACATTTGCATGCGCTTGGTATGCAAAGCGATTTTTGCACTAAATAAAGCCAAGAAATTTATCGCCGAAAAATTCGGTCACGGAACGGACGAAACGTATTTACTCCGATTGGAATCTAATTAGTTATTTCTAACAGACAAACGGCGCCATTATTACCTGCGAACCCCGATACAATTAAAGTGTCCATCCGATGGCTGAGCCAATGGTAAAGCGATTTTCGTGGGTCGTGGAAACCCTGCGAATCGATTTATCGAGTGCAAAATTAAAATATCAAATAGAAAACGGCCGGGTTTTACGCAAGATTGACTGGACGGTCGCACGCCATATCTATTTAACTGCTGACCGACTGACACTGTTTCAAGGTTTATGATTTCAGGCAGAACAAAGAAGGCTTTCTTGGAATTGATTTAAGAGATATGGATGAAAAGACCATTGACGTAAGATATTTGAGGTTATACTCGTGGCGTGCATATCAACAAAACTATTATTCATAATTAATGACCCACCGGTGGGTCATGCCGTTGTTAATGTGTGCGAATAAGATTAATAAGTGTGAATGAAATAAATAAATTGATATAGAATATAAATAAGGTTGAGCGTTTACTTTAAACTGATCATTAGTTCGATATTTTATGTAACATATCTATAATTGATTTAAAATTATACAATAAAAAAAACTATTATATGAAATAAATTTTAATAAATAAAATGTATTATATAAAAATATTTCTTTGAGTCATAAGACGCACCCAATTTGAAATCCTTGTTTTATAGGAAAGAATAGTGTACAATAAGAGCACATTATTAAGCAAAAAAAATCTAACCTCAAAGTTATTCAAAGATTTCAATTAAAGAAAATTAATGAAGAACTTTTTAAAACATTTTATACTATAACAACAAAAAATAAATATTTGATGCAGAATTGGTATGGCTTAATATGGTAAGTATAGTAAGTATAAGTATGGTTAATGCGATACTATAGACTTTTTCCTTTTTTCTAGGTTGTACTGCATTCTAGTAAATTTAACTTTCCGGGTTATTAATTTAAAAGTAATGACAGACCCCCAGATGACTAAAGAAATGTAAGGACATGCTTTAAAAGATGCTTTAAGAGATTTGGAAATTTGCTAGAAACCAGCGATTCTCAAACTTTTTGGTCCGCGACCCTTAAAAATTTGAAAAGGCATACCCCAAGAATAGGTATGTGTAGAAAAACATCCCGGATTGATCTGTCATCAATTTTTCTTCGATCCCACAAATATTTTCGTGGCCACGAGGGTTTTTTTTTTGGATTATTTTATAAAGAAATATTATGTCTTCGATCCTTAAAATATTTCAGAAATAAAGGTAATTTCTTTTGTACTATTCGTTAATTGTTTGGACTCGAATACATTACCCTTAAAGAGGTCAATATCTTTTGAAACTTTTTACGCTCATTTAACATACTATAGATAATAGATGTTTAATACATGTTTATTTACAATCCTAATGGCGTATAGACACTGCAGCTTTCTTCAATATTAATTTTAGAAATAAATAACATTACGGTCTAACTATATCAAAACAACTATTATATTCTATTGTAAAGTGTACGTAAGTGCGAACAAAGAGAGACGTGTGTATATAAATATTGTAAACAATTATATTTAAACAATTATGATTAACGTACAGAAACGTACATATGTATGTTAACTGAGTTCACACTGTATATATCCATTTAGCTATTGACCGAGTGACATTGTTTCAAGGTTTATGATTTCAGGCAGAACAACGACGTAATTCTTGAAATTCACGTTGGGTTGGAATGAGTAAGAAGAGAGATAGAGGAGAAACGTATATTTTTGTATGCGATAGACAGAGAATGAGAGTCCTCGTTAAGAAACGAGAGTGGAAAAAAAATCTGTGCCCGCGGAGGTTCTTTTGTTTGTAGTAAATACTCGATCGCGTTCGTCTGCGTTCCCATTCCCTTTGTTGTTCCACTCGAAGACCCCAACGACGCCACCCGCGACCCCTAAATTACTTCACCCTTGATTAGATACGCGAAATAAAACAAAAGCTTGTTCAATCTTCCAAGGGAACTTTTAAATAAATTAAATCTCATTCCTGATTCTTTTATTCTACTCTTGACATGTATAACATTTATTCTAATTGTATTCCATGAGAAATATAAGCGTATTTCAATTAATCATCTTATGAGAAAAGAATCTAAAGACAATAAATGAAAATAGCATTATTCATAAAAAGCTGTATTGAAGTTTCACAAAATATATTGTTTTTTAACCAATTATATAAATGCTTTGAATTAATATAATATTTGTTAACATTTTAACATTTATTTAAGAATGCAATAAATTATTATGGATGTGCCGGGTTTAATTTACTTAAATCGCGGGCGACTAATAGCCGAATGGTTAAGTTGCCCTACCCACGATTTTGTGGGCGCCGGTTCGAATCCTGGTCAAGCCAGGCCCGTTGTGAGCACTCTCGGTGGCCAAGTCGATGGACAATGACAGTGTTAAGGATAGCAGCAAATTCACAGTCAAAGGAAATAGTGGAATCGCAGAGCATCTATATACTACAGAAGTTAACCTACAAGACGACAGCCAACCAATAAATTTAAAAAAATCAAATCATCTAATCTCGGGAAAGATTATCCATTTAATGTCAACCGCGATCTTAAATGTACTCAATGTTTACATTGATGAATGAATAGATTGTGAATAAAATTATACGACATAAAAAAACTTAAATCGCAATTTTAGAAAAATTTAAAGTAGTATAATGTTTAATAGGCAATGACTTAAGTCCTTTATTTCGACTAGAGACATATAGCGTTGTTTGGAAAGTAATTTCGTTTTTCACAACAAGTATCGATATATTATATTTTGACAACCTAAACCAATATATACTGCTTTGATATTATGATGGTTTTAATGCAAATACTGGAATTTAGTAAATTAATATAGTAACAATTTATTTATAGATGGACAATTTTAAGCCAAATACAATTTTCCTTTAAACTTAAAAGAAACTTTACAAGGGTATAGATTTCAGACTAGTGTTTTTCAACCTTTTCTGTATCTTACTAAGTGTGCAGTAACTTATAGTTATAATTCTAGGTCAAACTGGTTAAAAATCACTATTCTAGACTCTAGATATTTTGATAGTTTCGGTTTGTTCAGATTCAAATAAGCCAATCCTTTAATATTTCAATTATGGAGTATGATAAAATATCAAACGCCAAAACCGTTTAAGTGAATACAAATACATTTATATTCATTTGTAGTATTCTTATAGACATACACTTAAAATCTTACGTATTACTCCTTTAGCGTAGAAGAACTGAAGAATTTAAGAATTGTTTTGCTTGAAAAGAGTAGTATTATATTTAAATTATAATATAATATACAAGATTTGAGGTAGTAAATATGAAATGGAACAATTGTCGTAATGAAGTATATTGCAAAAAAATTTAATAATGCGAAATTTAATAACGGATTTAATTATATAAAAGATTTAATGTGACATTGGGTTGAAAGGGAGAAAGAGGCAGACTGCAAGGATTCGAATAATTTTGAATTTTATTATCGAAAGCGTTGCAATTTCGTGTCACTTTTTATTAGTGTCCTCCCGTTTATATCAAAAGGATATTAAAAATGTTTCCGCATTAATCTTTAGCATCGGCCATTTTGCAGCGTGGCATTTTCACAATATTCTAATTACGAGAACGATTTTATATGCACCATAAAACGGAGTTTCGAGGGTCCAGAGCAATTCATATTTTTTTTTCTTTATCACAAACGGGATATTAAATTCGCATTTTGTGCACATATATTCCTATATATAAACGTTAAAATAGATATGCTATGGAAATATGTATGTGAAATATAAAATTATTGCAGGATACGAAACGAACACAAATATCCCGCGCTGACGTTTATAATGGAATCCGTGCTTTTGTGGTTACCGAACAGATTTGTATTAAATGTAATTTCGATTCTGAAAGCTGAATTCAACCGAAACCAATAAATAAATCACTGCAATGGCGATGCCGATGGGTCTGGAATTAACATTTCCGACCGGAATTAATAATAAATTGCTATTAACTTTAAA